CTATGGGACTGTGAATATTATTTTCTACTTTTTAGTCCATTTATAAAAAGCGTTAAAAAGTTTTTTTTTATATTATTTATTTTCTACTTTTTAGTCTTGTCTGTACAAAATTTTGCAATAGATATTAAAATAATTCAACGATATTAATAGATAGGTGCACCCACATGCATTTACATACATATGTATGTACATACATACGAGCACCAATTAATTTCATTTAAAGAAATGGCGTGTCGTCCATTTCCGCTGTAGCGTATGTAGTGCATAGATGACATCTACCTCGCCCTATGCACTACAGATGTCGCCCTATGCACTAGACTTTTTATAGGAACTTTTAAAGAAATGGCATGTCGTCTATTTCCGCTGTAGCGTACGTAGTACATATGGCGACATATAGATGTCATCTATCTCTCCCTATGCACTAAAGATGTCGCTCTATGCACTAGACTTTTTTATAGGAACTTTGCAAAGCAAAGTTTTTATGGTGTCTGACACACAACATTGAAAGTTTTTGGATCCACAACATTGAAAGTTTGTGGATCCACAAAATTGAAAGTTTCTGGAGCCTCAACATTGCAAGTTGATAAAAGCGTTGTAAAAATTAAAAAACCGGTGTTGCCAGCTATCTGAATTATCAAACAAATTTAATTCAAATAAGCCGCAATAATTCTATTCCACTGCGAATGTATGAAAACACTTAAAACAGAAAAAAATTTGCATAGAGTTGCCACCATTCCAATAAAAAATGGATGTTATTGGAAACCCGAATTTTTCATGCTGCATATCTCTGAAAGCATTCATGGTAGGGGACTGGAACTTGGTATGAAGATATATAAAATCAATTTAGAAAATGGGCGCGGGGAACAGGTCATAAAGTGTATTTCATAGCGCTAAGTGAAGAAGACATGGTACCTACTATAAAAACCCAATTTTTCATACAGCATATCTCTGGAAGTGTTCCTGGTAGAGTACTGGATCTTGGTAGGGGTGGAGCTATTGGAAAAGGGGGCGTGGCACCTCCCATACGCAATTAATCGCATACTCATGAAAAAATTGATGTTATTGGAAAACAGGCGTGGCACCTTTCATATAAATCGAGTTTTTTATACTGCATATGGGGTTGTTCGAGCTGCAATCACAACCACAGTGTTGCACGCATTATTAAAGTAGCACGTTCTTTGTGAAATTCTAGCAACGTTTTATCAGTTGGGAACTTGCAACAGTTTTGCAAACTTTCATCAATGGTGCAGTATTGCCGCAGTTACTACGTGCCTCGANGGAACTTGCAACAGTTT